ACTTCCTGCCCCTCCCCAGAGTGCTCACTCAGCTCCAGCCATTCCTCTCTGCTCACTGTCTACCTCTGAGCCCCTGCCTTTTCTGTTCCCCCAGGTAACCTCTATCCACCTCTTCCCTTTTCTTTGATCCTAGCTAGCCTTAAGACCTTTTCAAACTTACCAGTTGGATGCTGCCTTTCTCACCACAGCCTCCTTCACCTCTGTTTTCTTAAAGAAAGCCTTATTCTATTTAAAATTTACATGCTGGGTTTTTGTTATTGTTGTTTTGTATTTTTATTTTTTATTTTCCCTCCAGTTGGCTCAGTATCATTTCCACCTCTGCAGTGGTAAGCTTCTTCAGAGCAGGATAGGTCAGGAAGTTTTAATGTCCTCAAAGGAGATAAATGAATGGAGTGGTACAGTTGATAACATCCAGGATTTTATCAGTTTGTGTCCAATTAGGAGACAGAAACCAATAGTGATTTAAACAAGGGAAGTTTGGGGCACCTGGGTGGCTCAGTTGGTTAAGCAACTGCCTTTGGCTCAGGTCATGATCTCTGGGTCCTGAGATCGAGTCCCACATCAGGCTCCCTGCTCAGTAGGGAGTCTGCTTCCCCCTCTCCCTCTGCCCCTCCCCCTGCTCGCTCTCTCTCTCTCAAATAAATAAAAATCTTTAAAAAAAAAACCGAGAAGTTTAATAAAAAGAATTATTATCATTTTTTAGAGAAAGAGAGACAGTGAGTGGGGAGGAGCAGAGGGAGAAGGAGGGAGAGAATCTTAAGCAGGGGCTCGATCTCACGACCCTGAGATCATGACCTGAGCCTGAGATCATGACCTGAGTCAGCTGCTTAACCGACTGAGCCACCCAGGTGCCCCAACAAAAAGAATTATTAAGCTATGATGAAAGAATAGCCTATAAGATATAAGAGGATGCGATATGGTACCTTAGGGCTGATGGAGATACCAAAGGAAGCATAAATTTGGAAGGGAGGTTTCTCCCCAAGGCTGAGGTTCAAACCTGGTTGGAGAAGGTATAGCTGTAGTCCACTAGGTGGCAGAAAATGATCTGGTTTGCTGAGGCTAGAGCTGGTTTATAGTTGCTGGGCATGCAGGAAAGAACCCTCTAGGACATGGGTAATCTATAGTCAGTGAACAGGTATGCAGATGGCACCATTGTGGGCCAAAGCACATCGTGTTAACATTGGGAGAGTCACTAGGGACAAAGCTGGGGTGGAGATGTTTACTGGAGATCGACTTGCATATTAATGAGTGTGTGGGATTAGGATTTAATACCCATAGAAGTGGTTATGATCACCAGGCATATATGCAAAGAAGAAAGTGGCCATCTGGACTCACTAAAGGTTACACTAATATTTGCCCTTGATGTGTGTCATTAAATGAGTGTTTGCCTTTCAGATTTAGTTATCTATGACATGTGGCTTAGCCTTCAGAGATTCTTCATATCGTATGAATTTTCTTAAATACCAATGAGAAAAATTATCACAGAATTGCACAAAGCATGAAAGCAAAATGTTCCTGGAATTTCACTATCTCAGGAGATCATACTTTCATTTTTATATGTCCCCTTTTAGTCCTTGTCCCATATATATACATAATTTTTATAATCTTAATCATAACAAATTAATTTTTTAGTAACTTATTTTAGGCAACTTCCCTCCCCCATTTCCATATAATTTTCATGATTACTATTTGTCAATGAGTAGACATATCTTTATTATCTATTCCTCTCATCAAATGTTAAATTAAATTTTTGAGCAGTGATTTTATCTTAGTTGTTTTTTTTTTTAATTCAAGACATCCATCACAGTGTCCTGCACCCTATAGGCAGTAACTTCTTGCTATTTGAAATTATTTGATGGACAATTAGGATAATTCTTGTTGTTAGCTGTTAATAATAATGTTGCTGTAATCAACTTGGTGATTGTAGCTCTTTTCCTTCTTTTGTATTATTTCCTTGGGATCAATTGTCAGGAATGAGAATACAAATCCAGGAGTATGAAGATTTCTGTTTTTGAAACATGTCATAAGATAGCCTTTATAAAAGTTCATACCAATTTATTCTGTTTCCCAGCAATGTAGCAAATTTGCATTTGCTTGCAACCAGCAGTGGATATTACAATTCTTTTTTTTTTTTTAAGATTTTATTTATTTATTTGACACAGAGAGAGAACACAAGCAGTGGGAGCAGCAGAAGGAGAGGGAGAAGCAGACTCCCCGATGAGCAGGGAGCCTGATGTGGATGTGGGGCTCGACTCCAGGACTCTGGGATCATGACCTGAGCTGAAGGCAGATGCTTAACCAACTGAGCCACCCAAACGCTCCTACAATTCTTTTTAGAGATTGTTAATTTAATAAGTGTAAAATGGAACCTTAGGGTTTGAGGATTTTTGGTTTTTTTTTTTACATTTCTTTAATATAAATTGTAATACTGAATTTTTTTTTCATGTTAGACTACCAATGCTATTTCTTATGGTGTCAATATTCAATGAATATCATGTACCTTTTTGTGTGCTGATTTTTAAATATTTTTAAAAAGAACTTAAGATCTTTCAAAAGACAGATATTGGAGAAAAATGTTGATATCAACGTGACTGTCTTTCCTTAGATTTTAGGTAAATTGTTTGCCCTGAGGTTTCAGCTCTTTGATGTATTCAAAGGAAATTTTCAGATTATCCGGCTATTTTTTGTTATAAAGGTAGGACCATCCTCTTCGGTTTTCTGCCTCTTGAGAAGAGATGGATTTCTTGATTTTTTATTTCTCAAAGTGAATCACACTTAAAAAAAAAAAGAACACTAACCAACTGTTTGCAGATATTCCATAGCAACTAGTGTAATAGGATGATTTTTGAGAAAGAGGAGGCACTTAACATGAATTTCGCATTCACCCAGACTTTCTTCCTGAGAACATTTGCCTAGTGGCACAGAGTTAGAGCCTTTCTCAGTGTGTGGAGGAGGTAAGAGATCAGACCCTCTATTTGTTCTGTGCATGCTGTATTAAGATGGGGAAATGTGGGACCCTCAACTCTATGGTCAAATAATCTTTGACAAAGCAGGAAAAAGCATGCAATGGAAAAAAGACAGTCTCTTCAATAAATAGTGCTGGGAAAATTGGACAGCCACATGCAGAAGAATGAAACTCAACCATTCCCCAACACCATTCACAAAGATAAACTCAAAGTGGATGAAAGACCTCAATGTGAAACAGGAATCCTTCAAAATCCTGGAGGAGAACATAGGCAGTAACCTCTTTGACATCGCCCACAGCAACTTCTTTCAAGATACATCTCCAGAAGCTAGTGAAACAAAAGCAAAAATGAACTTTTGGGACTTCATCAAGATAAAAAGCTTCTGCACAGCAAAGGAAACAGTCAACAAAACAAAGAGGCAACCCACAGAATGGGAGAAGATATTTGCAAATGACACTACAGATAAAGGGCTGGTATCCAAGATCTATAAAGAACTTCTCAAACTCAACACCCAAAAAACAAATAATCAAGTCAAAAAGTGGGCAGAAGATAGGAAAAGACACTTCTCTGAAGAAGACATACAAATGGCTAACAGACAGACACATGAAAAAAATGTTCATCATCATTAGCCATCAGGGAAATCCAAAGCAAAACCACATTGAGATACCACCTTACACCAGTTAGAATGGCAAAAATGGACAGGGAAAGAAACAACAAATGTTGGAGAGGTTGTGGAGAAAGGGGAACCCTCTTACACTGTTGGTGGGAATGCAAGTTGGTACAGCCACTTTGGAAAACAGTGTGGAGGTTCCTCAAAAATTTAAAAATAGAGCTACCCTATGACCCAGCAATTGCACTCCTGGGTATTTACCCCAAAGACACAGATGTAGTGAAAAGAAGGGCCATCTGCACCCCAATGTTCATAGCAGCAACGTCTGCAATAGTCAAACTGTGGAAAGAGCCGAGATGCCCTTCAACAGATGAATGGATAAAGAAGATGCGGTCCATATATACAATGGAATATTACTCAGCCATCAGAAAGGATGAATATCCAACTTTTACATCAACATGGATGGGACTGGAGGAGATTATGCTAAGTGAAATAAGTCAAGCAGAGAAAGTCAATTATCATATGGTTTCACTTATTTGTGGAACATAAGGAATAGCATGGAGGACATTAGGAGAAGGAAGGGAAAAATGAGGGGGGGGAATTGGAGGGAGAGATGAACCATGAGAGACTATGGACTCTGAGAAACAAACAGGGTTTTAGAGGGGAGGGGGGAGGGGGGATTGGTTAGCCCGGTGATGGGTATTAAGGAGGGCACGTACTGCGTGGAGCACTGGGTGTTATACAAAAACAATGGATCATGGATCACCACATCAAAAACCAATGATGTATTGTATGGTGACTAACATAACATAATAAAATTAAAAAAAAAAAAAAAAGATGGGGAAATGTGTAGAAAGAGCACCAAACAGTTGACAAGGGATTGGAGTGTGTGACATTACTGGTAGGCTGACCTCAGAGCCATTTTCAGGTCTACCTTATATGGTTGTGCTCATTGTGTATGACAAGAGTAACTGGCCTAAGGGGGCCATCAGGGAGCTGAAATCTTGCCCTTGTTCCATTTGGTGTGTCACACATCCACAAGATTGTATCTTTGTAGGGGATGCTCTTTCCTAATGAGCACTGAGGTGCCAGATAGGCCATTCTGTCTATTCCCAGCACCTTTCTCTCTTGCTGTCTTTCACTATACAGTATGGAAAAGCTAAATATTCAGTTTTCTAGTCTATCTTTTTTTTTTTTTTTTTGTGCATCAGTGATTTTAATAAAGAAAAGTGTGCTTCTGAGCAGAAATAATTGAGCTGAATGCTGTGGTCTCATTTAAACAAAGCGGTGGGAGGGTCAGTTGAGGGCAAGGAGCGCAACAGTCGAGAGCACCTTGTCTTCGGTACAGTTCGGTGTCTTTCCGTTTTCAGGCGCAGATAAGCCTTGTCCTAGCTTCCTTTTAGGAGGAATATAGCCACTGGGACGAGAGGCCAAACTCCGTTTTTCATGAGATGGTTTTACTTTGAGCTTCTTCTTGTCAGGGTCATGCACAACGGCATGCCTAGTGAGACTTTGTTTCATTGCAAATGTTTTGCCACAGCCAGGATGTTCACAGGTAAATGGGCGCATTTCCTCGTGAAAAGAGAGAATGTGGCTCTGGAGATTAAAGACAGTTGTGTAGGTTCTACGACAGCCTTCTCTTGGACACCGGCATACATCCCTTTCTGGGGCGTGAGTTTTCATATGCTGCTTGAGGTAATCCTTGTGCTTAAATGTTTTCTGGCATACCTCACATTTTGTGTCCTCTTTATGGGTTTCTCTCACATGTTTTAGAAGCTCTGTCCATGTTTTTGCCACAAAGGAACATTCTTTTTGACACATATAGCCCTTGTGGACCTTGCTGTGTCGCTTCAGCCTGCTGGGTGAGGCGAAGTGTTTCCCACATCCTTCATGGGCACACTTGAACAGCGGCTCATTGGTGTGCTGGCACTGATGGATTCTCAGCTGCTGGTGTTTCTTAAAGGCCTTCTTGCAACCTTCAAAAGTGCATACATATTGTTTTTGCTGATTTTCACGCTTGCGTTCAAAATGTTTCTTCAAGTTTGATTTTGTGTTGAATTTTTGATCACAACCACTAGCTCTACAAACAAACAGCTTTTCCCCAGTGTGAATCAGGATGTGGCAGCTCAGATGGTAGTCCCTGACAAAGGCTTTGCCACACCCTTCATGGTCACAAACAAACGGTCTCTCCCCAGTATGCTTGCACACGTGCGCGTCTAGCTTCCAGGCCTTGTTGTAATTGGCGCTGCAGTCAGGGAAGGAGCAGATGAACCTCCTATTGAGCGCGGAGGGCGTTGGGGCGGGGCTCTCGCCGGCCGCGGCGAAGGCGTCGGCGATGGTCAGGGATGACGCGGCCTCCGCGACCAAGGCCGGCGGCTCCAGGGCGCCCGGGGCCGTGGCTCAGCCACGTGCCCAGAGCTCTAGTCTATCGTTCATCCTGTCTTACAATGATTATGGTACGGACTGTTACTCGTCTCCTAGTCTCCATTCTCCTTTGCTCCTTTTTAAATTTTTATTTATTTATTCATGAGAGACAGAGAGAGAGAGAGAGAGAGGCAGAGGGAGAAGCAGGCTCCCCGCGGAGCAGGGAGCCCGATGTGGGACTCAATCCCAGGACTCTGGGATCATGACCTGAGACGAAGGCAGACACTTAACCCGCTGAGCCACCCAGGTGCCCATTCTCCTTTGCTCTTATAGAAATTGCTAAATTTCCCAGTTTCTCCTATAGGTATGTTTGGACATGTGACCAGCTACTGGCCATTGTGATGAAATGGTATGTGCAACTCTCTGGCCATGCACTTAAATACATGCCCAGTAGCACCATTAGGCAAAGGAAAACAGGGTTCCACCTCAGGGCATGCAGGGGTTCTTATATTTTGGAATTGCTTCCTCTACATTTTTTTTATGTCATCTACTGCTCTTGGGGGTGGCTGGGTCCAATAGTGCTGTCAAATGGGATGCTCCAAGAGTAGATTTTGACATGTGTAGGCCCTAGGCTCTGTTTCTCCCCTTTGGGACACTCTCTGACCTTTTACCCTGTGTGTGGAGTTGACTAGGTGCACACCCATACGGTTGTCCTGAGGTCCTAAGACTGGGCCTCAGTTTTAGGAGGGTGGCTGGCGTGGTTTTTCTTTCACAAGATCACATGAGACTGGGCCATCAGAATGATGGTGACAGTGATTTTGGGTGCTGACAGTGACTCGCTCATGTCACTCACAGGTTGAATTCAGGGCCTCGGCTACTGTGGATCCACTGCTAGCCCTTGGGTATGAGTTGCATGGGCCTTTGTGTCAACTCTTGTTCATCTGTGTTCCTACTGCAATGCTGCCTATGTCTATAACACCCAAGGACAATGGAGGCAGCGACAAATGTCCTTTATCTTGCGTCCCCACATTGTTGGCATCCAGGGTGGTCACTCTCCCCCTGCTACAGGCTCTAGAACCACATGTCAGGCAGTTCTCTGGGAGTAGCCTCTCATATAACCTCTAAGGGCTTTCAACAGGCTTTCTGATGTCCTCTCATCTTTAAATTGATGTAGTGTTGGGCACCTGGGTGGCTAAATCGGTTAAGCGTCTGCCTTCGGCTCAGGTCATGATCCTGGGTCCTGCGATGGAGTCCTGTGTCGGGCTCCCTGCTCAGCGGGGAGTCTGCTTCTCCCTCTCTTTCTCTCCCCCCGCCCGCTTGTGTTCTCTCTCAAATAAATAAATTAAAAAAAAATAAATTGATGTAGTGTTGCCATGTTGTCCTGGATCTGTCTTAAGTTGTGCTGGATGGGGATGGATATTTCTTAGATAAATTGAACTGCTCTTCCTACTCTGCTCATGGGTCCACTGCTTATCCTCCCCACTGGTGGTGGTGTGTGGAAGGGAGAGGTGTGATCAACATTGAAAGGCATCATGTTTTAGGAATGGAGTGATTGTAGCAGTTGCTGTGGTCTGAATGTTTGTGTCCCCTCAAAACTCAAATGTTGAAATCCTATTCCCAATGTGATGGTATTAGGAGGTAGGGCCTTTGGGAAGTGCTCAGGTCATGAGGATGGAGTTCTGATGAATGGGATTAGTGTTCTTATAAAAGAGACCCCACAGACTTCTGTAGCTCCCTTCCACTATTTGAAGAAACAGCAAGAAGACCCTGTCTATGAACCAGGAAGAAGGCTCTCACCAGAATTCAACCATGCTGGTCCCTTGATCTTGGACTTCCCAGCCTCCAGATGGTGAGAAATATAATTATTTATAAGTACTCAGTCTCTGGTATTTTGTTACAGCAATCCAAATAGACTGAGACAACAGTTCCAGAGAAGTCATGGTTGTAAAACATGTTATTTAATGATTATGCTTTAACATTCCACATGGTATATTTAACATGTCCAGAAAATGTATTACAATTCACATTTCCTCCATATTCTTTGTAAGATTTGTATTTGTAGTCATTGAAACCAACTTTGAGAGTATCATTAGAAACCAGTATTTGTGGGGCGCCTGGGTGGCTCAGTTGGTTAAGCGACTGCTTTCGGCTCAGGTCATGATCCTGGAGTCCCAGGATCGAGTCCCACATCAAGCTCCCTGCTCAGCAGGGAGTCTGCTTCTCCCTCTGACCCTCCTCCCTCTCATGCTCTCTCTCTATCATTCTCTCTCCCTCTCAATAATTCAATAAATAACTTTAAAAAAAAAAAAAGAAACCAGTATTTGTGGGTGGCATGATGCTGCCATGTCATTAGTCATGATGTAATGTTAAATAAATGGTATTAGAGAACTGAAGAGGCAAAATGATCCATATTGTTTCAATACCATGGTGAGTTCAAGGATTTCAAGGCTGATCAAGAAAAAGACAAGAGAAAGAAAGGAAAGAAAGAGACAAGAAGACCAGGAGATGGCTTGGGTAGCCCCTGTCCTGGGATTGTGGAAGAGGGTAAATCCTTACAGAAGGGGACTGCCCAGTAGGGAAAGGAGGTAAGGAAATTCTGGGAGTGGGTGGGGGGTGGGGGTGGGTCTGGGCTTAGGGGGGCCATCAGAAAGGAGGCTTACCTGTCTAGGCAGTGTCACTCAGCAGCAAGGTGGGAGGCTCTGGGTCAGAGAGCTTTGAAGGGCAGCAGTGGTTTAGGATCTTCTATGGCCACAGGGTTTGTCTTATCTATGGCTAGCAGATGTTAGGTGCAGTTTCATGGTTTATGCAAAGCAGGTAGTCTCTAAATGGCTAAAAATATGCTCATTGGTTTATATTTACGGCAATGGGATGGCTAAGAATTTGCAAAATGTGTAAAAGCATTTAGACATGTGTTTTCTTAAAGCTTGATATAAATTCCTTATGTTTATAGGTTATTTAGACAATTACAACTGAATATTCAAATTCAATATTCAAATTGAATTAATTTAATGTTAGGGACAGTGATGTTTTGCTGAAACTAAATTGCTTTTCTAAAATGAATACTATACTAACCACTATGGTTTAGGTTCTTTTGATTTTGCCTTGGCATATCTACCCAGCCATGTACCTTGTGATGACTTAGTTTCTTCTGAACAGGAAGTGAGATCCTAACCCTTGCTCTCCCATATTTAAAGGTCTTTTGGGAGTGATCAGAGGAGTTCTTATAAAGGTCTGGGGTCATGCCAACCACTGAGGACTTGAGATTAAATTACCTTGAAGAGATATGATCTAGGTTCCACACAAGGTTCTCATCAATTCTAGGGAAGTGTTGGCCTCAGTAGGACATGACTGAGAGCTGGATGTTCCTCTGGATCCAGCCTTCTTGGCTGTGTGGTGGTTTTGTGGGAGACAATGGTTGAACATGAATGTGAGATAAAAGAGTTGTAAACTTGAGTCCCGTGTAGGGCATTACAGTAGCAAATGAGGACATCCAGTAGTGGTGGACAAATGAAACTAGCCAAACCAATCAAGGTAGTCTAAGAAAGGTATGCAGGTATGTAGGCTTCTAGGTGGGGCCTAGACTCACTTCGTCCTGCTACTGACCCTCCCTCCCCATGCAAGGTGGTTCTCCCTACTATGCAGGACCAAAAAGCACCGCCTTCTTGACATCCTTCGGGTCTTCTGGGTGCACAATAAGATCACTACTCTATTTCTCGACTTCCATTCATTCAGCAAACGTTTCGGAGGCTCCTCTGCTCTGCAGTCCCCACCCCGTCCAGGCCAGCCCTTAGGCTTGTTCAGATCTCCCCACCAGACCGACTGCTCTTCTAGGCTCTGAAGAGACACCTCCAGATGGGAAATCTGCCAGGTGGGGCCCGGGCCTGTCTGGACGGGGAGCAGGCTGCTGCCGCCTAGGGAAAGGATGATCTACGCGGGATCTATTGCTCATTGGCCTGGCTGGGCCCCGCCCCCTCATCTGATAGCCAATGGAATAGTACCCTGCTTCTTGCTTTAGTCTTAGGCTCCACCTCCTGCTGGAGATCAGGTGTACAAGCTTCTTCTGGGTCTCTGGAGGCAGGGAAGGAAGCTAGCTACCTCTTCACCTGCCCTCCCTTTTCCTCAGATGTGTCTCTCAGGAACTAGAAGGGGGTGGGAACCCCCGAGATGTGGGGTCCTCCAAGTTTACTAGAGAGAATTTCAGAAAATGTGCAGTGTGATGACGTACTTACGGCGCAACCCCTATTTTCTTTAACGCATGAGGGTTTAGTTTGTGAGGACCAGGAGTGGTGCCCCAAACCTGTTAGCTAGAAAGCTGTAGAGGCTGCCGGGAGCCCACGGTGAGCGGGTCTGGCTTGGCCTAAGCAGGAGGTGAAGGACTCCGCGGGAAATGGGCGCAGTTACTGCTGCTACAGGGATCCTCACCCAACCCCTTGAGCTCAACTCGATTCCATGGAGAGGGGGCGCTGACAGCCCCGGGACCCTGGTCTTGCCCGCTGGTTTCTCGTCCCCACGACAGCTTGTGGCCTGTTCAGATTCTGGTACTGACACAGATTCGAGTATTGACACCGAGGTCCTCAAAAAGTTTTAAAGGTCTTCGCTCCAGGACATGCTATCAATAGAGAACACGACTTCCCGGTCGCTCCAGCCCTCTCTTGTCCCAGCTGTGGAGACCTCAGCCCTGCCCCGTGGCCTGTGTACGTCTTAATGGTCTTTCTGCCTTTTCTGGTGGTCCTTCACTTACTTTACTTGCCTGGCCTGGTGTAAACCCAATCTGGAAGCTGTCCGTAGAGCCAAGTTTTGAGAATATTGAAATAGTTGGGTCTTTTTACCCCAGGATGGAAGTTATTTACTTCATCCACAAATGGGAGAACGTAGAGCCCTGGATTTGGATTGTCCCATATGAATGTTTAATCTAAAAATCTCATGACGGGGGCGCCTGGGTGGCTCAGTCGTTAAGCGTCTGCCTTCGGCTCAGGTCGTGATCCCAGGGTCCTGGGATGGAGCCCCACATCGGGCTCCCTGCTCGGCGGGAAGCCTGCTTCTCCCTCTCCCTCTGTAGCTCCCCCTGCATGTGCTCTCTTTGTGTCTCTCTCAAATAAATAAATAAAATCTTTAAGAAAATAAAATAAAATAAAATAAAATAAAATAAAATAAAAAATAAATAAAAATCTCATGACGAGTCCTAGCCACCAAGCACCTAATAGGTGTCCAATGTTTAGCGTACAGTTTCATATATACAGTATTGAAGATACAAAGAGATTTCTTGACCTTTTCACATCCTTTGTCACTCTTCTCATTACATTCTCTTAACTTTCCCGTCATTGTCATAATCTAATTGTTAGGGTTCCTAACAATCAGATTAAATATTTGGTCCTTGCTGTTAGTGAAGTGTGTTGGGTTGTGATTTATTTTCAACTCGAGCTTGTTATCTATACTTCAACTCCATAGATTTGGTTTTCCTCATAGGCAAGTAGGAGGGAATGTTTTGTCGGGTGGTCTCTGCTATTGTTCTACTTCCAGAGGATTTTCTTTTCACAGATTGTCACCTGTGCAGATCAGACCTTTCTGCTTCAATCCTTTTGTTTCAGATGCCAATATTATTAAGTATCCATTGTAAGGGACATTTATTACAAAGAGAAGACGGCAGTATGATTTAAGGGAACTAGAGCACGCAGCTACAAGGGGGACCTATTTACTCAGTATGAATCACTTCTTTTTGTTACCCTGGGACAAAAACCATCCATGAATTTAGCAGTATTACTTGTGAGGGTTTGCATTGTGTTTTCTTGTACCTCCTGCACTAATACCTTCTCTTTTTCCTTATTGGATTCCCTATAATCGCCA